TCATTTAGCTCCTAGGGCTGTTTGTTTATTTATATATAAATAATATATATGTGTGTGTTTATATATTTATATAAGTATTGCTTGCTGATTATGCCACTGAAGCTCCTACATATATATTTATAATACAGATATTAAAACAGACTGTACACAAGCAATGAGTTTAAATATTCTCAGAGATCAGCTAGGTATGATGGATGGTACATGCCTGTAATCCTTGCACTTAGGAGGCTGAGGCAGGATGACTGTGAGTTTGAGGACAGCCTGGGTACATAGTGAGTTCAACACCAGCCTGAACTACATAGTGAGACCCTGTCTCAACCAAAAACAGCAACAAAATATTCTCAGAGATCCTCTTGGAGCAAACTGAAAAAATTATATGAATTAATGAGTGCCTAACAGTGTTAGCTACTATAGTGTAGGTGGGGTTTGGAGTGCCCAGAACTGGAAAAACAAACTATATTCCTTCTGTGAACATTTTAATAAGCATTATTTTTAGAGCAGTGTTTTGTTTTGTTAGGGTTACAGGCCTTCCCAGTGCTAGAATTACAAGCATGCACCACCATGCATGGCTAGAGTAAAAAAAATTTATTTTTTTTTTTTTTTATTGGAGATCAAACTCGGACCTTGTGCTTTCAAAATTAAGACTGGCATGTGAGACAGGCGTGGCCACTGAGCTAAATCCCTGACTTTAGTGTAATTTTTAAGTATACAGCAAAGTTGACTAGAAAGTATGGAGGATTCCCACATGTTTGTGTGCCCCATACATTCACAGCTTCCCCTTAGACATCTCACATCACCCCAGAACCTTAAAATCACTGAACTTTTGTTGACACTTTCTTATTACTTAAAGCCCATATATTTTTGAGGGGGCTGGGTACCAGGGATTGAACTCAGGACCTTGCGCTTGTGAGGTAGGTGGGGCACCACTGAGCTAAATCCCCGGCCCCTTAAAGCCCATATTTTATATTAAGGTTCATTCTTGGTATTATACATTTGTGGGTTTGGAGTGACGTATATCTGCCATTGTAGACTCATACAGAATAGTTTTACTGCCCTAAAAATCCTCTGTTCTTTGCTGATTTATCCTTGGCTCCCCATAACCTTTGATATTCACGGATGTTTTTACTATCTGAATAGTTTTGCCTTTTCTACAATGTCATATAGTTAGATCACAAAGCCTCATGTATATAGCCTTTTTAAGTTGGTTTCTTTCACTAATATTTATTTAAGTTTCCTGTGTGTCTTTTTGTGACTCGATAGCTCATTTCTCTTTGGAATTGAATACACGATATTACCACAGTTTATTTACTAATTCACCTGCTTCTTTGCTGGCTTCCAAGTTTTGGTAATTGTGAATAAAACTGTTAAAAACATCTGTATGTGGCTTTTGTATGCATGAAAGTCTTCAGCTCCTTTGGCTATACACAAAGAAGTGTGATTGCTGGACTATATATTAAGGGTATGTTTAATTTTGAAACAAGTTGCCAAAGTTCTTCCAAAGTGGTTTTACTGTTTTGCATCCTCACCAGCAATGAATGACTGTTTTTTGTGCTGCACATCTTTATCAGCATTTGACATAGCCAGTGTTTCAGAATTTGGACATTCTCACAAGTAGATAGTGGTATCTCATTGTTGATTTAGTTTGCAATTCTCTAATGACATAAAATGTTGAATATATTTTCACGTTTACTTGCCATTTTATTTGTTTCAGAGAGATACCTGTTTAGGTCTTTTGCCAATTTTAAATAGCTTTTTAATTTTTATGCTTTTGGTTTTTTGAGACAGGGTCTTGCTGTGCAGCCCAGGCAGGCCTTGAGCTCGCAGTCCTCCTGGCTCAGCCTCTTGAGCTCTGGGAGTATAATTTCAAATTCCATTTGTTCATTGATGGTATATGGGAAGCAATTGACTTTTGTATTTTTGAAAAGGTTTTATTAGTATATATTTGCAACACCCGATGACTCATTGTGGGAAATTGGTACATGTACATATGCATAACACATCTCAGTTCTTTTTATTTTCTCTTCCCCTCCATCCCTGTTTATTTTTCTCTAAATTTTTTGCCAACATAAGATTGACTTTTGTATATTAACTTTGTGTCCCGCAACCTTCTTATAATCACTTATTAGTTCCAAGAGGTATTTTTTTAGTCAATTAATAGATTTTTTTACATAGACAATCATGTTATATGCAAACAAAAATAATTTTATATTTTGTTTTAGTTTTGCCTTGTAGGAGCTAGTAATGCTAGTACAGTGTTGAAAAGCGGGGTAAGAGGAAACATACATTGTTCCTGATCTTAGCAGAAGAACATGCATTCTCACCATTAAATATGATGTATACGTAGGATTTTTCGGTAAATGTTCTTTTTTTTTTTTTTTTTTTTTTTTTTTAAGATAGTATCTCCCTGTTTAGTCCAGGATGGTCTTGAACTTGCAATCTTCTGTCTCAGCCTCCCATGTTCGAGATTACAGATATGCACCACCACACCCAGCCTATAGGTTGTCTTTATCAAGTTGAGGAACTTCCTTTCTATTTCTAGTTTGCTGAGGGTTTTCATCATCAATGACTATTAGATTTCATTAAATTGTCTTTCTGCCTCATTGATGCACTGTGCCTCCCCCCCAACCATTGTGATGTTATGGGATACATTAATTGATTTTGTTTTTTGTTTTGTTTTTGAGACAGGCTCTCACTATGTAGTTGAGACTGACCTGGAACTCACTCTGTAGCCCAGGCTGGTCTCAAACTCACAGTGATCCTCCTGCCTCAGCCTCCTGAGTGCATTAAGTGATTTTTGAATGTTTCTCTCCTGTTCACATCCCTCAGTTCCTAAATCATGATAGTTACAGTTTCTGTGCATTCTTTGACTCTCTTCTCCTCTCTCTTCTACTACCACTTCTCCCTATTAAAGCCCTATTCTGTATGAGTCTACAATGGTAGATATATGAGGTTAGAGAGCTAATGGTAGACAGATCATAAAGGGATTTAGAGGCTATTATAAGAACTTTGACTTTTTCATTGAGACTGGAAGCCCTTTCAGGCTTTTGTGCAAAGAAGCAGCAAGCTCTGACCGTATCCTAAATAGAAACTCAAGTTGAAGATAAGTGAGATAGGAGTAGTAGTACGAGGCAAGGGCAGAGGCATAGAGAGCAGTTAGGAGATTATTGCAGTAATCCAGATAAATGGAGGTGGTGGTCTGGACTGGCTGTAGACAACATGAAGTGATTGGATTTGGCATATGTTTTGAAAATAGAGCCAAGAGGGGCCGAGGATTTAGCTCAGTGGTACTGTCGCCTGCCTCGGCGCAAGCTCAAAGCCCCAAGTTTGATCCCCAGTACCCCCCCAAAAAAAGAGCCAAGAGGATTGATAAAGGATTGGAGTTAGGGTATGTGAAAATCAGTAGTCAAAGACTACTTCTACAGTTTTAGTCTGAACAACTAGAAGGACAGAATTGCTATGAGGTGGGAAAGAAGGCAGGAGACTTTTGGAGGTGTAGAGTTTCAGAAACCTATTAGGCTTTCAGGTGGAGATTCTGAGTAGGTAGTTGGAGGTATATATCTGGAATTCAAAGGAGAAGCCAGAGCTGGAAAAGGAACAGAAAGGGACCTACAGGAGAAACTGAGAGGGCATGGCTGGTCAGTAGGAGAACATAGAGCACTGATGGAGAACCTTTTAGAGCTTTCGGCGATGCAGACAGCCCACTGTTGCACATGTGCCATGGGTTTGCCACCACTGATCAAGAGCTAGTTGAAAAGTACATATTAAAAAATTAGACTTCCCAAAATAAAAGACTCAGTCAGTCCAATACTGGGCAAATGAAATGAATAGCTACTTCTCAGAAGAAACAGTACAAATGGCCAGTAATTACATGAAGAAATGTTCAACATCACTGCCCATTAGAGAAATGACTTAACACTGAGATTCCATCTCAGCCCCAGAAAGAATGGCCATCATCAAAAAATCAAATAATAGCAAATGCTGGCAAGGCTTCAGGGAAAAAGGAATCCTCTGTATTGTTGGTGGGAATGCAAACTAGTACAACCACTGTGGGAATTAGTATGGAGACTCCTCAGAAAACCTAAACTAGAAATTCCATTTGATCCAGCTATTTCCCCTTCTAGGTGTATTCTCACAAGTTGCAATTCATAATAGCTAAATCTTAGAAGCAGCCTATATGTCCATCAATAGATGAATGGATAAAGAAGTTAGTATTTACATATGACGGAGTACCGCTCTGCCATAAAGAAGAATAAACTTCCATCATTTGTGGAAAAATGAGCGCACCTTGAGTCCATAATGTTAAGTGAAATAAATCAGACACACAAGCTTAAATATTGCATGGTTTTCTTATATGAGAAATCCCAAAATATACAGAACAAAATAAACATTAGATAATAGGAAGTAGGGAGAGTGGTCTTTCTCAAATGGGAAGGTAATCAAAAGATGGAGTGAATGAGCTGGGGATTTAGCTCAGTGGTTTGGTGGCCTGAGTTCAATCCCCGGTAAAAAAAAAAAAAAATGGAGGGAGGAGAGAGGGCAGGATAGAGAAAAGGATACAAAGAGTTAAGATGTGTTTTGTACATGTACCACCTACACACAAGGAATGCAGATGTGTACTACGAACATGTACTAATACCAAAATTCAAAATTCAGAAATAAAAAATACGTGTTAAAGAGAAGGAATGTTGGCTCTGTGCAGTGCTGCAGATGGCTTCAGCATGCTGGAGACATTCAGTTTGAAGTCTCTGTATTCTTCCAGGTGGCCAGCAGCTCTGTGGGGGCAAGAATAGCATCCCATAGAGTAGTTACAGCATAGTTCCTTTCCTGTAGTTAAGCACATGGTAATTACTATAATTATTAATGTGGTATACCTGGTATATTGCCCCTCCCTGTTGGGCAACATTTGTTGAATGAATGAGTGAGTTGCTTTTTTGTTTGTTTAGCAGTTACAATAAGGCATTTCCCATGTGATCATGAAGTTTTATTTGGTGTCGTGGCAGGAGAGAGGAAGCGAAGTCTTAAGGCAGAGCTGCTGTGATGGAGCTCCCCAACTACAGCCGGCAGCTGCTGCAGCAGCTGTACACGCTGTGCAAGGAGCAGCAGTTCTGTGACTGCACCATTTCCATCGGCACCATTTACTTCAGGGCTCACAAACTTGTCCTGGCCGCCGCCAGCCTCCTGTTCAAAACCTTGCTGGATAACACAGACACCATCTCCATCGACGCGGCTGTTGTGAGCCCCGAGGAGTTTGCCCTCTTGTTAGAAATGATGTACACTGGCAAATTACCTGTGGGAAAACACAACTTCTCCAAAATCATCTCTTTAGCCGACAGCCTGCAGATGTTTGATGTGGCTGTTAGCTGCAAGAATCTTCTCACCAGCCTTGTAAACTGCTCCGTGCAGGGTCAGGTGGTAAGGGACGTCTCTGCGCCATCCTCAGAGTCCTGTAGGAAAGAGACAGAGATGCCTCAAATAGCAGTCCTTTCCTCCGAAGGTGTGGGGGTGTCTCTTTCCTCCCTGGAGTCTTCTGCCACCCCAGGGGGCCCTGTGAAAGCTGAGGCCCACGAAGCGATCCATACAGGAACCCAAGAGATGAGTGCAGGTCTTCCCACTGCCCAGGAGGTTCCAGGGGATGCAGAAGCCCCAGTGGAGACTCCTCACCCAGCTGAAGCTGGCTCCCCCTCACCTGCTGGACAGACCTGGAGTGGAGCAAAGGGGTCAAGCACAGAACCAGGTAGTACTTATTTCATTTTATGTTTAACTTCATTTCAGCTTTAATTGAAATGTGTACTTCTGTTGTCAATTGCTGTATTTGATGATCTCTATTATTTTTTTATTTCATTGATGAATTTACCAAGGCCCACCACAGGCAACAAACCCTAGTTCAATACAGTACCTCACTACAGCATTCTGGTTTAAGAGTGTCTGTGTTTTTCGGGGTTGAAATTCTGGGGAAGACTTACAAAGCAGAAGACGGGTGAAGTGACAGTGTCCCACTTGATCATTATCCATTCTTTTAAGAGGCTCAGGGTGGCACACGGGAGGGATCTGTGAGAGACTGTGGTGCCTGTTGCTCAGCACCGAGGTTCCAGGTGTGCAGTCTGTGACCTGAAGGTTCTCTGACAGCTGAAAACTTTATAGTCATTTTGAGGAACAAATCACTGTTTTGTCTTACTTTGTTTTACATTTAGAATGTGAGAGGAAACGCAACGAGCTGAGTTTTCTTCTAGAGAATGAAAATGTTTTCTCAGATGCACTCTTGGTTACTCAGGACATTTTAAAAAGGCTAGAAGAATGTTCAGAAATTAAAGGCCCACAGAAGGAGGTAGGTACCGGAACTTTATCTGTTTGCTAATTTGGTGTTCTCAAGATACCATGTCAACTTTCCTCATGGGGCAGAGGAATGAATATGCAGAATACCCCAGGGTTTCAAATTTCTCAAATTTGAATTTTTTCGTCATTTATTCCCTACAGGGCAGTCTTGCAAAAGCACTAAGCAAAATAATTTCAAAATGAAGTTATATATATTTTTTATTTATTTATTTTTTAATTTTATTGAGTTTATTGGTACATTTTAGGGATACAGTACAGTTACATTCATTGTTGGGATCATGTACCTTTACATGGCAAGTCTTGATTCTCATTTTTTCCCCTTACCTCTGCCCTCCCTTCACCCCCTCCTCCCCTCCCCATCTACAAACACTTTATTTTCATCTTTTCATTCTCTCACATTTTTTTCTTTTCCCTTTTTGTTCTTCCCCTACGTATCACACCTTCCCTACACCTTTAGCTCCTTTCCTCCCATTTCTAAATGTCAGTAATCTTATTAGAATCTTATGCATTGTTGCAGAATATTCACACCAGGGAAACTATTTGGTATTTACACATGTGGGACTTATTTATTTCACTTAGGAGTATATCTTCAATATGTATCCATTTTCCTATGAATGAATCTATTCTCTCGCTCTTTATGGCTGAGTAATATTCCATTTTATAGAAAAACCACAACTTCTTTATCCAGTTTCCAACGGATGGGCAAATAGGCTGTTTCCAAGATTTAGCTATTACAAACTGTGCCGCTATAAACATGGGTGCACATACTTCTCTGTGATATGATTCTTTTAGTTCTCTTGGAAAGATACCCAGCAGAGGGATGGCTGGGTCAAATGGAACCTCCAGTCCAAGCTCTTTGAGGTATCTCCATATTGATTTCCATAGTGGTTGCACTAGTCTGCACTCCCACCAACAATGGAGGAGGGTTCCTTTCTCCCCACAACCCCGCCAACATTTGTTATTGTGTGATTTCTTGATAGCAGCCATTCTTTGTGGGGTGAGGTGGAATCTCAGTGTTGTTTTCATCTGCATCTCTCGAATGACCATTGATGTGGAACATTTTTTCATATATTTTCTTGCTGCTTTTACTTCTTTGTCTGAGAAATGTCTGTTCATTTCGGATGCCCATTTTTGAATCGGGTCTTTATATTTGGGGGGACTGATTGTTTTGAGTTCTTTTGAAGTTATATTTTGATGACCATAGGAATCCTAGCTTTTCTTTCTCTTTTTTATTTTTGAGACAAGGTGTCACTATGTTATCTAAGCCAGCCTTGAGCTTGCTGTATTGCCCAGGCTGTCTTCAAACTCAGGATTCTCCTGCGTCAGCCTGCTGAATGCTGATTACAGGCATGTGCCACATACCCAACCTTGCACACTATTCCTTTCTGATAAACCAAGAATAAAATGAGGCAAAGGGTAGTCTTGGATAACCCCAAATCAGAGAGTAAAACAATAAAAATAAAATAACAGATACTTAAAATATGTACAAAAATGATTTATTATAAACAACACAGTAAGTTGCAACTAATGTTTAAGAATACACTGGCTACTGTTAGTCATAAAAACATGATGAACATTAATTTAACATTGTGCTGGGCCGGAGATTTAGCTCAGTGGCACTCTGCCTGCCTTGCAAGCATTATAAGGGCCTGTGTTCAATCCCCAGTACAAAAAAAAAAAAGAAAGAAAAAGAAAACATTGTGCTGAGATTGGTACATATTTCATCTCACTCAATGCTTTCAAAAATCACAGAAGTGGATTCCATGTTTTTAGTGCTGTTTTATGGGTGAGGAAACTGTCTGAAAGAAGTGATACAACTTGGCAAAGGCACAGTGCTCGTAAGACTCCAAGCCAGAGCTAGAGTTCAAACCTAGGCAGTGCTGGGGATGGAACCCAAGGCTTTGCACATGACAGGCAAATGCTGCACCACTGAGGCCCCATCCCAGCTTGCATTCTGACTATAGAGCTGCCCCCTTGCTTACCCTGCTCTCACAAGGTACAATGATCACATATGTAATATGTTTAGGAATCACCCAACAGGAGAGTATCAAAGAGCTGTCTTGTTCTGTTTCTGAGCTGCTTTTTTCTTTGTGCAGTATTGTCATTGAGACAGACCCCACCTGTGTGCTGCTGCACACCTGACCCTTCAGATTTGACTCCAGAGGCACTTTTGATCCCCACTTGCTTCCACTCTGACTGCCCTGCTTCCCCATTGGCAGCCTTCAGCAGAGTGAGCCTCCACCTCCCCACCCCAAAGCGGGCTTGCCCATGTGATTGGTGAGGGTGGTATGGGGAGGTCCTCAGTCAACTCAGGGTCTGTTAGGGACTGACTGTTAATTGAGTCAGTATTTGTGTATATCCTGATTCATAGCAGGTTATTGTTTTGTTTTGTTTTGTTTTTTGAGACAGGATCTCACAATGTAGTTGAGACTGACCTGGAACTCACTATGTAGCCCAGTCTGGTCTCTTAACAGCAAGCCTCCCAAGTGCTGGGATTACAGGCGTGTGCCACCACGCCCGGCCCAAGCAGGTTACTATTTTAAAAAACCAAATTCACGGTCTAATATGGATTTTAACTGTATTAATTAACATTTGACTATCACTATAAATTGTTGTCTTGGGAGATAGGCTATTTATGAGAGAGGGCTGACCCCAGTGGCTGTCTTTGGGAGGTTTCAGATCATTAATCCTAGGTACTCTTTGTACTGATTATGTTGAAGGAGACTTTGGTTTTATATATTTGCACTTCTATGTTCTCTCAGTTGTTAAATCCATCATTTTTGTGATCAGTTTGTTACCTTGATACCCAAGTTATTAGTATTGCTTCATACTTGCTTGAATTGAGTTTTGTGCTGTTTTGTTTTTTTTGAACACTGGTGACTAGGTCCTGGCTTAAGAAGTGTCTGCTATACTTGGATTAATTCAACATTTCTTTCTTTTAAAATCCTTGCTCTAATCTTTTGATGGAAGTAACATTATTAGTGGTTTGGAAGAGCACTGATTCACTTACAGGCTTAGTTATTGCTTCCTTGGTTTTAGAGGTCAGAGCAACAGCTGTACAGATCACTTGGTGGCTATATTCAAAACTGATTCTGTTGTGGCCCATAATACATTTTTTTAACTTCAGAAAGAAAAAATGAAAAGATGCGTAAAGAGCATAAGATTACATTGAATCTAAGGTCTGGGGATGTAGCTCCGTGGGACAGCTCCTGCCTTAGTGAGCACGAGGGCCTGGCTTTGATCCGTGGCGTTGCCATAAATACACAGATACATATGGGGCTGCCACTTACACTTAGGGTCCCCAGTTCTTCCTCTTTTGTGCTTCTTGTAGACAGCTTTATAAAGAGGTATGATTGACTTACAGGAAACATTTAAAGTGTATAATTTGATAAATTTTGATCATCAAAATCAGAAGAGTAAACATCTGCATCACCCTCCAGAGTTTGTCACATCCTTGTATAATCCAGTTCTCCTGTCCCATTCTAGGCTCTCATCTCCAGGTAATACTGATTTGCTGTCAGTTTGGATTAGTTTGTATATTTTATAGAATTAAGTAAGTGGAGTTTTGTAGTATGTATTGGTTTTGTCTGGCTTTTATTCTGCATAATTATGGAGATTCATTATTATTGTTACATGTTCTTCCCTTGTTTTTACTGAGTAGTGTTCTACTGTGTGGATATGCCGTTTATCTTACTTTACCATATAGTAGCATTGTGACTTTGAATAACTTAGTCATGATAAGCTTTAATTTCTTAATTTGTGAAATAGGGATACACTGGTGGGCATGGTAGAGCAGCCCTGAAATTCCAGCACTCTGGGAGGCAGAGACAGAAGGAGCAAGGTCAAGACCATGTCGCAAAATTTTAAAAGGGGCTGGGGATGAAGCTCGGTGCAAATGTCCTAGATTCAATCTCCAGTACTACCAAAAAATTTAAAAAATAAGGATGTGTCATAGGGTAATTATAAATTAATTAGGATTATGTAAAGCTTGTGGTAAAACGTCATGCACATAGCAGGAGCTATTGATTGTTTATATGTTAATTAGTAGTTTTAAGCTTAATAGACCTCTAAGCCCCTTTTTGCCAAATGTGTTATTACATCCTACTGTCATGGTGGTTTACTGCAACACATGAAATGATTTGCTGTTGCTTTAAGCTTAATTTATAAAGCATACTTTCAAATAGGTGCAACCATCTGTTTGGAAGTAGCTTCCTGAGCTGCATGGGTAGTGTCTAGTATGAAGCAACCAGTCTCTGTAACAGTGGTGCACGTGTATGTCTTAGTCCCTTTTCAACTAGGACACAGTACTGATACCGTAATTTAGAGGAGAGGTTATTTTGGCTCACACTTTCAGTCAATGGTCAGCAGGCTCCAACGCAGAAATGGCGTGGTAGAAGGGTGTAGCAGAGGAAAGGTGTTCATGTTTTGGTGCCAGGAAGCAGAGAGTGAAGGGAGGAGCTTGGGAGGGAGACAATAACCTTCCAGGTCACACCCCCAATGACCCGCCTCCAACCAGGCCCCCTCTCCTCACTGCAAGTCAGCAGTGAACCTTTCAGAGGACTAATCCACTGGTGAACACAGCACCCCTGTGATCCAGTCACCTTCTGAACACACAAGGCTTTGGAGGGACATCCCAGTGCTAAACCATAATGTTACATAAAAATCATTTGGTGTGCTCATTAAAGCACACACCTTGAGCTTCACTTCCAAAGAGTCTGACTCTTAGGTTGAGGTAGAGCCTGGTACTCTATTTTTTAACAAGTCCTGCTGTCTTGCTTATCTGAGGACCACATTTGGAGAAGCACTGCTGTAGAAGTTAACAATCTAAAAAGCTCTTAGCGCATGTTTGCATACGTCATAATGTCTGTGGTGGTACCTTTCAGTATTGTGAACGGCTGCAGAACGCCTCGTTTCTCCAAGTGTTACCCTTTGCTTGCTCCATGATCCAGTAGAAGTTTACTTCTACTGAGAGAAGCCAAACACTGACCTGGT